GCCGGCACCTGTGAAATTGCTGATTACTATTTAAGTGCTGATTCACAATGTACTTAGCTGCATATTTGAGGAACAAAGTGTTTCGTGGACATTTAAAATCCACGTACACACACTGAATCAGCTCATTGGACTATTTACAGTAGGTACTCGAGCAAACCAAGTTCGATCTGAGCCGGCACCTGTGAAATTGCTGATTACTATTTAAGTGCTGATTCACCATATACTTAGCTGCATATTTGAGGAATAGAGTGTTTCGTAGACATTTAAAATCCACGTACACACACTGAAGCAGCTCATTGGACTAATTGCTTCACAACCCTCCTGAAATGAGAGGAGACATGGGCCCAACAGTGGGTCGTAAATAGGCTGAGCTAACTTTACATTTATCCTTTCACTCTAGGTTGTAGTTTGGATATAGATATAGATAGAGATTATTAGAAGATATCTAAAAACATTTACGGAAGTACAATATACGTGGGAATGTCAAAAAGTTCGCGGAATTGCAGGGAAGGATAATGAAATGAAACATTAAACTATTTTTCCTTTTCAATGTATTCTCCCTTAACCCTAACACATTTATTAGATCTGTCAAATAACTTGTTGATACCGTCTGAAAAAGATTTGTCTTGGGCGTGATATAGGCCGAAATTGCCGACTTCACTTCATCATCGTCGCCGAATTTTTTTCCACGCAGGTTCTTTCTTCATTTTTGGAAACAAATAATAGTCACTTGGGGCCAGGTATGGGCATGGTGGGTGGCGCAGTTGTTCAAAATAGTGCCGGTGAATCGCAGCGGTCGCAACATGGCTTGTGTGCACAGGCGCATTATCATCCAAAAGGAGCACGCCTTTTGTAAGCTTTCCTCGCCTTTTTTTTATAGCTTCTTTTAATCGATCTAGTAAAGAAGCGTAGTATTCTCCCGTTGTGGAAACACTACCTTCCTTATAATCAATCAAAAGGATACCTTCTGTATCACAAAAGATCGTCGCCATTATCTTTCCGGCCGATTGAGACACCTTATACTTCTTAGGAAGGGGGTGTCTTTTTTATGCCACTGCATCGACTCGTGCTTTGACTTAGGTTCATAATGGTGAATCCAAGGTTTATCGCCAGTTACAATTTGGGCCATAAATTCCTCCCTTTGCCCTCCAGAGCGATCCAAAAACTCGCGACAACTTTCGACGCGCTCGTGTTATTAATGAGCAGAAAGCATTCTCTGAACGCCTTCTTGCACGGACTTTAGTCATGCCAAGGTGTTGATGTAGGATGTTTAAAATGGTTGTTTCTGATACTCCGACTAATGGTGAAAGCTGTCTTTTCTTTAGCCGGGCACCTTCAGATATAAATTTATCAACTTTTTCGTTTATTTCTGGCGTGGTAGCCTCAATCGGCCGTCCAGGTCGGGGGTCATCTTCAATGGAGTCCTTGTTTGTAAAGGGCGTGCCATTTATTAAATTTAAATCATGGTATACACAAGAGCGAAGTTCCCATAAATAACTGACATCTCTTGAAAAATGGTTTGAGGTGTCTTTCCTTGTTTGGTGAGAAACTTAATGACGGCACCTTATTCAATTTTCTCCTTAATGCCTAGTTTCTTTCCGATTGACTTGTTTACTCGTTGATAACTCAAAATCTTATGACCCGATTAGGCTGAAACTCGGTATATATACTAATAATGAATCACCCAACTAGCGCCTACCTGGATGAATAAACTCACGCTCGCCAACTTTTTGAACAACCCTGGTAAATGGATATCCATGTTACGGAACTAGTTGGTAACCCCTTCTTCTGCATCGGAATTCATCTGAATATCTCCTATCGTCCTCCTTTATCTGCCTTCTAGCAACATTAAATCAATTGTTATGTTCATACTCGAATAGTAAGGCTATAATCTGAGAGTCTGAGAGTGTAGTGATCAAAATCTCGGAGATGACGAGTCCTGTGGCCTTCTTGGTTTGAAGTTGTTTGGAGGTGTACATGAGCTGCATTTGCCACTTACCATTAAGTGGCCTATTAACTTAATTTTATGCGTGGTAGAGCCACGCTGCAGTTATATTCTTTGTAGCACGAATAGGTTGGCTCGACCCGGGGCAGGACCACGCTCTCACAGAATATATCACAGCGTAAAATAACAGCTTAGTACTGTTGTGCTTCATATGGTGAGTGTAGAGAGCCGGGGACCCTTTTTTACTGAAAACGAGGCAATTCTATCTTATTCCACAGGGTTGACAACGCATCAGCATTTTGGTTCTTAATTGAGGATAAATGCAGATGTCTATCCTCCATAGCATCCACTTACCATTAGGTGTACTGTGTGCTCACTTGTCTTCCTTATTCTGTAAATAAAAAATATCACTTTAATGTTTTTAAAAAAGAAATAAAACATAATAAGAACTGATAAGTATCTATGATATGACAGAGAGAGCAAAGTGCCAATGTCAAAACAGGGTTTATAGTGGCTCGAAGGGTCTAGGTGGCCGTACTAGTCGCTGACACGGCGCCTCGGTCGCGTCACCCAAGCGTCGCGGTGCCTTCCATCCCGTTCACATTACTGTGACCACGGTATCTTTTTTTAACGGACACACTACTAATAATACATAGTTTATACTTTTGCAATTCGCCGAGGTAAATCTGAAATAATAATAATATATTAGTTTTTTCGAAAGAACATCGATTCCAACCAACGATGATACGTGAGGGTTGGGGGGTATTGAATTGATAACGTAGAGGGGGGCCCATGTTTAGCAATGCAGTTTTAATAGGTTGTAATAAATTTATGAACGCACAAATAATATCCAGAGCTCGGTCTTTTAATACAAACCATACATCGACAATGACGAACCAAAAAATTTCGTGTTCTTAATATTTCATCATGCATGAGTAGCGTTGTCAGGCGTCCGGATAAAGCCGGACACAGTCAGGCTTTTTGTTTGCGTATCCGGCCAAATTAGACGGTGTCCTGCCTGTCCGGCTTTAGTAAGGCTTTTTAAATTTGACCATTTCTTTACATTTTTCATCTTACATACTATAGCAATTATTGAAACTAATATTGTAACGAATATTGAATGATTATAATAATAAAGAATACTGATTTATTCAATTGTTGTTATTTCATTACAATTTGAGATTTTATGATAAATGATAAAAAGCATTGTTTTACTTTAAAAAATGTCATTTCACTAAGACTAAAAAATTAAGGGTGTCCGGCCTTTTCACCAAAATGTCCGGCTAAGCTCGCTGGGCTGTCCGGCTTTTCGGTTTAAAGACCTGGCAACTCTATGCATGAGGAGTTCGAGCACTAGTATAAAGTACAGTGTAGGCATCTCGCCTGGTTCACTCTTAATCGGTGCGTGATTGTGTTTTTGATTCGATTATAGGTAACTCTTTTATTACAAGAAGGTTAAGTTGAAGTTTCCTGAAAAAATGATTACAAAACGTTCTTAGAATTTATTTACCTTGTTTACACTTCTTTTAAATGTTTACACGGGCATATCACATAGCTGGGTAGTACAAAACTTTATTATAATAATTTATAATTTTACTCTAAGATATAGATACGTAATGGAAGAGTTACAAATTGTGACAACATAGTTTACCTACTTCTACATTACTACATACATACTGTCTCACAAAGTGCTAAACCAGTGGACACACGAGTTCATACGCTCGTATTTCTTATTTGAAGTTTAAAAGATATACATATAATATAATAAGTACTACCTTGGTACAATTACTGTTAACCGACAACAAAGACGATAAAAGCCATTCTACTCCATAAAATTGACCTCGCGAAAAAATCTTACGAAACTATTGTAATTTGTAACAGAGCCATATTTTAACTTTCATCAGTAAGGTAGGTACGTAATCAATATAATGCCAATCTTTATAACAGATGTTAAACTAATTCATTACGATCATTTGTTTAGACATTTTTAAAATGGCCTGGTCCATGTTTATGTAATAACATAATGAATGTTCCGTACAATTAATGTGCATTATGAGAGCAGCATACGTCGAGAGGCGATAATGAGGAGTGCAACGGTGACGTCAGTGGCGCGGGCGGCGGGCGGCGGGGAGCGTGCGCCGACGATGGCGGGGCGGGGGCCGGCACGCGGGGGGGTACACCGAGGACGCGGAGCTGCGCGCCCGTTCATTGTAGTTTTTCGATTATTGTTTAATTAGGGCGAAGCGGCGGCGGAGCGGCGGCCAGGGGGCACACGCGCGCGGCCCGCTATATCTAATTATTTTCATAATTCTACTGCAAATTCTGATATGTGTTATATACATGCTTATTTTAAGTATTAGTATACGTTAAACGAAAATATCAGATGTAACGAAAAACATTATTTTTGAAGTGAAAACTTCCTTGGAATCGATGTGATTTGAATGTAGATGAAACGAAAAAGCGACAATAAAAAAAGACAAACATATACATTTATAGGATTTAACCTGCGAGAGAATGAAATAGAATATAGTATACAGTACACAGTGTTCCCTATTAAATATCGTATTGATTTTTGCTATCAATAGTTTGACCAAGTTAATATCAAACATAAGTCTCATACATTTTAATGGTGTCCGTCAATCAGATACTTTCATTAAAATAAAACATTAATTCTGTTACTTTTTATACAAACTAGATGTAATTCTAAAATAAATATAAAATCTAAATATTAATGTAAAACTATTCCATTGTTTTATTATAAAGTCATGATGAAATCGTACATAAGTACATATACACTATAACTGTACTTAAGCTAAAAATACACTAACAACTTTATTCAACCTCAACAATATATAATGTGCGCATCTCTTAGTAAATGTCAATCAGTTGGGCCTGCCCTTGGTATTAATTGCTGATGCAGTAGTAGTATGTAGAGATGATTTAGTAGTTGTAAATGTAAATAAAGTAATTGTGAGTTTTAGTGCGAAATGTCGATGAAAGATAATAATATAGCGGTGCGGTGCAGACGGCGGGCCGGTTGGCAGCGGCTGGCGCGCTATCTGCGGGCGGCGACCGGCGGGGGCCCGCGGGGTTGCGCGCGGCGGCAGCGGCGGTGCGGGAAAGAGCGCGTAAAAAGGCGAGCGGCCGGCGCGCGCGGATCCGCCGCCGCCGCGCGCCTTTCACGAGGTCGACGCCCGCCGGGGCCTCGCCGAAACCGACCCCGGCCCCCGCCTACCCGCCGTACCCCTGACCCCCTAGGAAATTTTCCCAATTTTACCGACATATTGAGAAAACGATCGCGACTAGTCTCACCGACTGCACCGTAAGCGGTATCGCATTGTCGCCTCGAGTACGTAATCCGATGTCTATATTTAGGATGCGCCGGCCCAGTCTCAAGGTGAGACGAGCGCGCCGCGACTGCAGCGGCACGAGGACGATCCGATGGCCCGTCGTCGTCCCGTTCTCGTGCTCCGACTTTTCTCTCCGAGAACGTTGAGTTCACCGCAAAAATAAGCTCGCTACGTAGTTGTTGTTGGGAAGATGTTTTACGACACGCCCACAACGCCATACAAACTTCACCCCGACAATAAAAGGACCGTAAACGTCGAATCAGAGATTTTGACGTCAGCCAACCTATACCCACGTAGTCACATGATTTTCAGATGTGTTATTTGTGGTAGATCAGGCATTAAAAAAGAGCTCATTTTATCTCAGACTACATATACGATTTGACAACGGAAGGTTAAATATGTCTTATGCACATATGCCATCTACTCGTTGAAACCAATTTTACATACAGTAGACGACCTACATGAGTTTCGAAGTCAAATTTTAATGGCGTTAGAAAGTATATCGGGCGACAGAGGTCGCCATTCTATGACAAAGGACCTATGGAAACATTCCACTGGATGAGTAATATGTATGCGAGTTGGTGGCGTCGCTGTAGCCGGCGAGTGGACGTGTGCACTCATCGATAGTATCCGGGCCAATGCCAGCCGTACCTAAACTAGAAAAGTATTGTCCTCGAATGTTCTGAGCGATAACCACAACGTGAGCTGAGGCTAATTGCAGCTTTAAAACGTACAAATAAAGTCGCTTTTCGGCAGCGAGCGGTGGTAGAGGTTACGCGTGAGATATGTGAAGTCGCGGCATGCGGGTCGCGCAGCGTTCTCACGCTTTGAATATTCCTGCTGCCGGCGACCCCCGCCCCGGCCCCGCACTCCGCACGCGGCCCTTCAATGACGTCCCCTGACTCCCACTCCCAGTATCCCGAGTCCCGACGATAATTGAATGAACCTTACTAAGACTGTTTACATCCGCGCCACTATACTCCACTATCCTTACAAGCTAATAACTACATCGTTCTCTTCTTTATCTCAATGTCGTAACGTTTTCAGATATTTGTAGAAATTTAACGCCCACTTTTGTCAGTTAGGTACCTCATCAACAAAATGCTGTCGAATTCAAAGTGGGAACCCGTTAGGTCATAAAGTCCTTGCGCCCATATTAACGCTGTTATCTATCTACTATGTATATTAAGTTATGTGACTGCAATATGTGATATTACCGTTTATTGCTCAGCTTGGAGTTAAACTAAAACCGGCTTAGATAATGGAGGTATCCAATACATCTACGTATATAAAATGAATAGAGATAATATATTAGAATGTTATGTGACGCACGTATAGAAAAAACGAGGCAATTAAGTTTACGTCTTTGCAAAGGAACTGAAAGAAAAAGCTAAGTATATCTGTTAAAGAATAGAGACAAAGTGTAATGTCCTATGCTCTCCTGTTGGCTACTGTCTGAAGCGGCGCATAGGTTTATCGACGTAGAGATCGACTAAATTTATATTCCCAATACTAATATATTCACAACATACATAATGTGAAGCGAGGGGACACGGGCGCGCGATTTTCACATACTACAACAAACTCTATCCTTGACTCACATTTTCGGTATCGCAAGTATATATCGAGAATCGGTTTCCGTGTGAACTTGATGCTTCGAATTTTATTTGGTAGTTGAAATAAATTATATCGTTAGCAGAACAATCAGAAACGTTATCTATATATAATAGTTAATTGTTGTATGAGACTTCGGGATTTTGGAACATTGACCCATCGATGTAATAAACTAATATAAGTATGCTTTAGAAGAAGGTTCTATTTAACGTAAGTCTGATATAATTTGTCGTGGTGATGAAAAGCATCTGCCGTACTCCGGTATTGAGCTTGGAGTTTAGGAACAACCAAACATTCCAACCGACCCTCTGTTTTAGTATCTGTTTGGACAACAGTGGTCAACTCATAGGATGAAGAGAATAACATTTGAAAATTAAAGCAGTTTCAAGCTTCTGGTAGAAGCTAAAGACAAATAGAATTAACGAATGTATTAGATATTCACCTGGTAGAGTCATGCTGCAGCTATATTAGTAGTATAGTTGTAGCACGAATGGTTCGGCTCGACCGGGGAAGGACCATGCTCTTCCAGAATACCAGCGTCAAATAGCAGCTCAACGCTGCTGTGTTTCGTATAGTGAGTACAAATAACCGGAGACACATTTTACTGGAAACAAGGCATTCCATCTTAGTCCTCACGGGTGACAACGCATCTGCATTTTGATTCGTTATCGAGGATAGAGGTAGATGTCGATATGCCATAGCAATCACTAACGATCAGGTGGACTGTGTGCTCGTTGTCTACCCTTATCCCGTAAAAACATTTTTAAATATATTATAATACTAAAAGTAACGTAAAGAAAGCTTTACAGCCTATAAACATCCCGCTACCGGGGAACCGTTTCCTCTTATCTATTCAAGTAAATAAAATTGAATTGTCTGCTTGTAAAGTCAAAATAACATCTTTTAACTAAATGCATATGAAAGTAATTACGGTACCTACTTATAACAAAAAAAAACAATTATTAAAATTTTTGTCTATCGGTCTCTCTGTCTGTTTGTTCCGACTAATCGCTTAAATGGCTGGATCGATTTTGACGGGACTTTTATTGACAGATAGGTGATGTTAACAAGAGTAAGTAATGCTACTTTTATTTTTAAAAGAAAATTACAACTACGCGCAAAAAATCAAAACCCATAAAACCAGCGCTGTTGTTTCAGCGTCAGCATAAACTGAGTGAGATCCATTTTTATGAGGAACGTATTTTCACTGTATTTATAAACATACTTTTTAAAATGTTATATCCGTCAAATTGTTGTTTTTATTTAATTTTGGTACCTATACTTTTATTAATCGATGTGTCTACAAATGCAAAAATTTAAGTGCCTAATGGTATTTGTGGCGTGTTGCAATAAATGTTTCTTTCTTTCTTTAAATCCAATGGTAATATATTCCACGTGGGCAAGGTTTCTAACAAAAATAATGTCCTCCAGACCGAATTTGGTCATGCCGGCCAGCCTCAACGGAGACTAGTCATCGGCACAGGACAGGATTATATTGCCCAAGTTTATTCTCTAGTCTCATAGTCCGACAGGACGGCAATACGACACGACTGGAGAGAGATCAGGCACAGCACTAATGGCTTAACGTGCTTTCCGAGTCAATGGTGTAAATTTCTCAACAGAAAGCTAGAAATATTGATTTTTCGACCCAACCTTGGATTCGAACCCGGCATCTCACAATCTATTACACTCGCCTTTACGACTATTAGACAAAAATTAGTTTTACTACTATTACTATTACATTACTATTAGATGACTATTAGATTAAAATTACAATACTAAAATACATTGAATATGTTTATTAGCACTTGAAAGCCACTACTGGATATAGTGAAGTCGCCAAGTGAAGAGGATAACTTAAGCGAAATGGGCACACTCGTAACGCTGAACAGGCGGCTAGTAAGCGCAGAGCCAATATCATCACACATTATTCTTCTATCTTACCAGGGGTTAGAAGTTTGGTATAATGTTTTAACCCTCTAAGCGGTCGAATTCAACCGCAGCGCTATTCCGTCAAAATTCAAGCGGTCGTATTCGACCGCGCACACCCACAGCATTTTAAACCATTAAAACATATATTTAGAGACTACTTTTCTATGAAGAAGTTTGGCATTATAGAATTAATATAAAATTTTCTATACTCTTTCTTCTTACTTACTACTACTACTTCTATACAGTTATCCTATGGATATGTACGCTATTTTCGCGTGAATGTTATTGTGTTGATTCTTGAATTTTTCTAGTGTTTTACCAGTGTTGTAGTATAGTGTTTTATTATAAAATTGTAATGAAAATTGTTGTGTGAATATAATTTATCTTTTTACGTAAATAATTTGGAGTAATATATATCGAAATAATTGTGATTTTCACGATGCCGACATTCGCTTGGTATGTTTTGTTTTTGTTATCAAAACGTAATAGTATTTTTGTAATAAAGTAAAACCTTACTAGATTTTATAATGCCAAACTTCTTCATAGAAAAGTAGTCTCTAAATATAAGTTTTAATGGTTTAAAGAGCTGTGGGTGGGTGCGGTCACATGCGACCACTCGGGATTTGACGGACGCATGCGACCGCATGGGAATTTTAAGGGGACTGAGGGGTTAAAGAATTAAATAATCCATCACTAGTCCACTATTGAACAAGGGGCTTCCCCATAGAGTGCCTAGCCCCAGCACCAAAGCCCGTTTTCTAAGAATAAAACAAAGGGTCATATTTGCTATAGTTGCCACGGGAGGCCAGAGGCTTGGCAACCGCGGTCTTTTTAGTAATAATAAGTTGGTATCAGTAAGATGCTGCTGTCCACCTTCTGGTTTAGATGCCTTCTGTCGCTTCTTACACGTATTTATCGTCCATAAGTCTCTCGTCAACAATTTTGTAAAGATTGAGAGTGTGTCGACTAGGGTTGCGTACCACATACTCAGAATCACCAAACGGTATTCGCTGATAGTCATACGGGTTTACGCACCAACCTAGTCACATCCCGATAAGGTGGTGGAGGAAATGTATGAGGATATATCTGGAACCATGCATTTCTCCAAAACCCATAGAATAAGGGTCGCAAACGAGCACATAGTCCACCTGATGGTAAGTGGATGTTGCGGTCCATGGACATCTACATTTATATTCGATTAAAATCAAAATGCAGATGCGTTGTCACCCCTGAGGACTAAGATGAATGCCTCCTTTCCAGTAAAAAGGTTCTCCGGTTCTCTTCATTTGCCATACGAAACACAGCAGCATTAAGCTGCACTTATATTCTGTGAGAGCGGCTGGTATTCTGTGAGAGCGTGGTCCTACCCCGGTTGAGCTGACCCATTCATGCTATAACCATAATGTAGCTGCAGCGTAGCTCTACCACGTAAAAAAGGTAAAGGTGGCAAACGCATATATATATATATGAAACCATTGAGTTATATGTACTACGTACTAGAGTAGCTATTCCAAATAAAAAAAATGTGCACTACTCTGTATCCGCGCATGCGCGGGAAACAGTAGAGTCGCTCATGCGCAGTTGATATAAACGCGCGAAAATTGTCATAACATACGCGGGGGATACCCAGGAAAACCACAGGATGCCCAAAAAATAAATAATTGTTTATTTA